GCCCTTTCACCTTTTTTGATAATGCAAGCTGCATGCAGTGTACCTTGGCAGGATAAGATTCCAGGTGGCATTAGAACATTTTTCTGTACAATTCAATCTCCAATCTTATAATGAATGTGGTGTGGGATGCACAAGCTCCTTTTCTTTTCTCTCTGGCCGACTTGCGTATCTGCAAGAAGCAGGTACCAATGCATACAAGAAGAGAAATATAAAAAGTTAATATTTTAATTAGGGAGACTGAAGGAAGTTTTAGATAATGCCAACAAAACACTTCTAAATATAATCTAATGCTGAATCCTACACCTGTTTCCCCTTTCAGGACACAACATACAAATAACAGAACATGAAATTGGCAGTGTCCTCTCTCCCCCCTCAGTAATCAGATCAGGTAGTTGTTAAATTAGGGTCAAACCCTGGCACACTCCAGCTCTGCAGCATGAAGCCATCTGATGCTGTGCAGCACAAATGTTCCCCAGGGCTGCAGAGTTCTCTTGGTGTGCTGGGATTAGGAATTAGAGAGGGAGCTTGTATGGCAGCCAGGTAGCTCCCTCATAGTAATGTCTGTGCCCCTCTCCTCCAGCTGTCACCCACAACGTTGAGGGTGCTGGGGATGACATCCAGGGAAGACAGTACATCTCCAGTCTCCCAGAAGAAGAGGATGGGTTCTCTCTGACTGCTGGAGATTAAATGAGATAGGTTGAACAGCACCTAAAGCATGCTCCTGGTTGACCACTCTATAATGGTATAGTCTGGCAGAGCAAACACTTCCCTTTATGCTTATCAGGAGTTGAAAAACACATGCACGGTCATTCAAAATTCTGTGTGTGTATGTGTGTGTTTTACTTTAAATACTACTTAAGGATTATGGTCCCTGCTCTCCCCTGTGGCAGTACTGGATGAGTTACTAATGTCCTAGAGTTGCAATAACCTCCACAGGCAAAACATGGAATAATGGGGACAAGGGACCACAGAGAGCAGTTAGGGTGTGGGAATGTCACTGTCTAAGTCCCCAACCGGAAAGATTCTGTACCTTGCTCTGGCAGACGGAATACAAAGCCTCTCTATCACCTTTCTACACTGGGAACAACTGTCCTCCGTTGGTTGACTTATGAGGAGCTTGATTACATGCAGGTAGGAGTCTAATACATGTATTACTCCTGTCTGACTGAGCTATGATTTAGGCTTTGACCAGGGTGTCCTTTTTCTGGCCAGACCTACTATCAGCTGACAGTATACACATGACAGTGAGGTGGTTGACGTGATCTAGCTTAGGGGTCAGCAACCTTTCAGAAATGGTGTGCCAAGTCTTCATTTATTCACTCGAATTTAAGGTTTCGCGTGCCAGTAATACACTTTAATGTTTTTAGACGGTCTCTGTCTATAATATATAACTAAACTATTGTTGTATGTAAAGTAAAGAAGGTTTTTAAAATGTTTAAGAAGCTTCATTTAAAATTAAATTAAAATGCAAATCTTATCAGTTTAGCGTGATCCTTGCCCTTGCTTTTCCTTGCTGAGTTTTCCAATGTCTGGCACGTATTTGGATAGTTTAAGCTGCACACAGGCTTCTGAGAGATCAGTTGTTAACCGGCTCCAAGAGGGACAGAGGACAGATTTCATGTGTGAAAATACCTGTTCATACAGGTATGTGGATCCAAATGCTGAAAGCATTGCAAATGGAATTTTCTTCAAACAGTTAAATTTCACTGGCAGGGACGTCCAGCAGGTCACAATAGAGGGCCCATGATCTCTCTCGGTAGCTTTAAGTGCACTCCGCAGATCTCCAATCTTTGATGCCCACAATTCTGAGCTTTTTAATGGAATAAGCTGCATTTCGAAATCTTCAACACCCATCCACTTAAATACAGACAAATCCAAGTCACTTTCATTGAATTTTTCAGGTTTAATTAGAAAAGTAAGTATTGGGCCAAATCGCTGGAAATCTTGAAATCTGTCAGAAAATTCTGATTCCAGTTCTTGCATGTACATTCCAATCTCATCGACACTGACGGTGCAACGTGTTGATAGCTCTTTTATGTGTTAGAAGTAGTAGAAAGTTGAATTTCGACTATCCCAAGAAAAAACTGCTAGTTTTACAACAAATGCCGTCCAGATTTCATAAAGATCCAGAACCATTTGCCCTGCACCCTGGAGACAGAGGTTGAGTTTGTTTAGGTGAGCGGTGATGTCAGTTAGAAACATGAGCTTACACAGCTATTTGTCATCATCCAGTTTGGGGTAGTTTTGTCCTTTTTCCTATAAAAAGGCCTTGATTGCATCAAAACAGTTTACAAAGTGCACCAAAACCTTGCCACGACTTAGCCACCAAATGTTGCTGTGAAGTGAAATGAACGGGCATGTAACTTTGCTTTCTTAGGAGCTGACATTTTGTCAAATGTACCCCTCAACTTACAGTGGGGAAAAAATCTCAACAGACAGCATGCACAACATCAAACGCAAATGTGCTGTTCCACATGACGTGATAGTGATGTAGGCAGCAAATCAGGACTTAAAAATATCCCAGTACAGTGGTGCTGGAACAATTTTTAAGGTGGGGGTGCTGAGCTGCAGTGGGCCACAGCTGGGGATGGCTGCAGAGCCCCAGGCCGGGGGCCAGGACCCCAGGATGGCAGCAGAGCACCTGGGACCGGTGGCCGGGACTCAGGCAATATGAGTGCCACTCAGAATCATCTCGCGTGCTGCCTTTGGCACGTGTGCCATAGGTTGCTGACCCCTGATCTAGCTGCTTCAGTTTATGATCGTGATGATATTGTCCTAGGTGTTTGTCCCTGGTGGTCTTTGATAAGTCCTGTCAATGGATTTCTTTGAATTTCCGGATGAATGGTCTCTACAGTTCTCCCAAATGCTTCCTGTGACCCCTTCAGCCTCTCTCCCAGAACAAGCACATACTCTCTTACTTAATTTTTCATTAGAATCAGTGCCTCCTCCTCAAATTCCTGTCACTCTTTACTTGCAAGAGCTCTTACTCTGCCACTTTGTCCCCATCTCACTGTTAGTTTTCCTGTCCTGCCTCTCTCCTAACTATTTGGATACTTGCTTCTCCTCGCTCTACAATATCACTCCTCTTCTCAGACCACCCAGCTAGCAGACTCTCTTTCTCTGTTTCTCTGATGGTCTCCCCACTCCAACTGCTGTTTCCCAGTTGTCACAGGCCTCTCCAGTGTGATTGCCGTGGGGCTCCCTCAGCACACCAGCAGGATTTACATGGACCATTTGTCAAATATGCAACGAAAGCTCATTTCTAACTATACCCTGATTACTGGGGCATGGCAAAAGTACCGTGTAGCACAAGATGTATGATGTACAAATCCTAAATGAGAAGCAATTATGTGTGCTAAATCCCTATTTATAGTTAAAATTTAAAATATTAATAGACACTGTATGTAGCTTTTGAAGAGTTATTAATGCCTAAAATGTGATAGATATATGATGTAGGTATGATGAGGTATAGATATGGCATGAGATAAATATATGTCATTAAGAATGTATGGTAATTTTTCCAGCATATTGTTGATGAATATAGCACAGTACTTCTTTTTTTTAAAAAGAAACACATTCATATATCATCCATATACGTGTTTGTGTGTAGTTAGTGACTGTAAAGATAGTGGGGGAGTCTGAATATGCCTCAGTAATAGATCAATGCATATCGCAAGCAGCTCTGGTTCAGAGAGCTTTCCATGGATGCATGGTATTTATTCCTCTGTTGCAAGCTGGCATCACTTGGCAGTTACATATCCCATCTTGCTTAATAGCCTGTAATGGTGTTTTTAATCCTTTGAATCTTCCATTGACTGACAGAAGCCAATGAGGAAGGAGAAAGACACACCAATGTAACTTACCTTTGGTCTTCCCTAGGGTAGTACCTCCATGAGACATGACCCTGGGAATTCCCTGACTGTGATCAGCTGTGACCCCTTATATTGTCTGAACAAGTCTTCAGTGATCACAGATCATGTGCTGAATTCTCACTCCCTATTCAAGTCTAACCTGAATCACTTGGAAAGAAATGCAATAACTTTGTTTGACATACAGATGTACAAAAATGAAATATGTGCATATTTAAAATGCCTTTACAGCAAGGATGTCATAAAACTCATTACAAGGTGAAAATTCCCGCTGGGGAAGAAGTTTAATACTTTGCTACTATTAATTGTTGTTGTTTGCCGCCCTTAAAGGAAATGCCCCTGTCTTTCTGTTTTAGGATTGAGCAGGTAATGGTGAACCACATCATCTTAAGCCTTGGTAGCTATTGTAGTGTCATGGTCATTTAAATGGGAAGTAGACAAAAAAATTCTTCCAGCCACGGTTTAGTGTGCCAAACTCAGTTCACGTGGTGGCACTTGAATGGAAGCTATTGCCCTGTTGGAGTTGGTAATTTAGTTGGCTGCACAGAAGTAAATCTTAGTACTTTATACTTCCTATGAGTTGTGCAAATGGATAGTAATTGATGATAAATCAGGAAGGAAACAAACGTTGTACAGACTTTTTAAATTGTGGGGGAGGGAGATGGCTGTGTGTTTTCCAAACAACATTTGGTTGGGAAATTGAATGTCAAGGTAAAGCACTGATTGTAATGACAGATGCTGGGAATTGGATGGCTATGGAGAATTTTATCTCCTCTTTTACACCACTAGAAGATGGTCCCTCTGGATCAGATGTTAAGGAATCCTAACAGCGATGGGTGAGGAAACTGGACCTGCAGATGCCAGTACAATACATCATCTGTAAAGAGAATTCAGAGCTACCAATGTGACACTTTTCACGACCACCAAATTCAATGCAATGCATACAAACAAATCATTATGGGCTGCTATGCCATAGTAGTTAGTAGGAAAGCAATTCTGTTGTGGGGTTCACAGATGAATGCAGATATTATATGGGGATATTATTAAGGTTATCCTCTGTTTCACTTTGATTTCTTAGCTCAGAAAAAGGAGTACAATACACAGCATACTAACTATGTGTATCTGTTTCAGTTTGCAGCTCATCTAGTGCAAATCAAATATCCAAGAGTCTGCATTCTGGACGGAGGCATAAACAAGATCAAGCCAACTGGTCTTCTGACAGTTCCTTCTCCACAGATATAAGCAACTACAAATTTTGAGAGAATTTAAAGTTAAAGGGTTCTGTCGACTGTGTGTGAGCATCATAAACCGTAAGGGCATTATGACATCTGCGGTATACATGAAATCCAAATGATCAGCGTCTTTCCATGTGGATCTGGAGTGAAGGAGCTTTGATTTTATCATTTGACATGGAACTTCAGTTGGACTGGATGAAAAATGTGAAGCTTTAAATCTTGCAAGGGACTTCCTTCAGCAGCAATGAAATCTGCATCAAGCATTGTCAGGTTCCAGTATAAAAGCAGTGTAGCTAAGGTAAATATTTAGGGTCTATACATATTTCAGCAAAACAGGAGAAACCATTGCCAGAGAGATCACAGTTGCATTAAATAGATTATTTTTGAGAAATATTTTAGAGCGTGAACATTGAAAGTAATAGGCTGAAATTGTATCACACACATCTTACTACAAATAACATTTTTCCCTATCAAATCTTTAAAGAATAAATGCTGTATTTAGTGATCCACTTTTGTTCTGGGCAGCTGTTTTCTAATCTGGACAGGAAATGAAAATAAATAAATCCCAAACTGGAAATCAATGTTCAGAGTGCTGCTGAATATATCCAAATATATACCTTCTTTTAGAGAATTGTTCATTCAGCTTTCATTTACTCTTTACTATTACTGTAGCTGTTTCATAGTAGGCCTAGGCTGTGCAAATAATTTCCCGAAACATGAGAAATGTTAAAATATGTAGAAAAATAGGCTTCTGACTGTACTTTGGGAAGTGACAAAAGATTAATTAGCCAAAAAATAATAGTGGTCCATATTTGAAACACTTATAAAGAAAAAAAGCAGTTCTGTTTTTTCACACCATAGGACTCCCCAACCTTTCATAGAAATGTACATTCTAATTGAAGGTGGAAAAGGTGTATTGGGTGATCTACTTTATTCCACCTGCCAATGTAGTCACTTTTTGAAGGACCACTTCTTGAGTCTGAACTTTAAAATTGACACACTGAGACAGCAATAATATCTCTAAAATATAATATATCCCAGTGCTGCAGTTGAGTGAAAGCAAGTACCACAAGTGGGATGAGATGGTTTTGGGTAAAGAGAGTTTGGAAATGACCTTTTTTTGCAATCAGAAGCCAAGAGTGTCGAAAACAGAGATAGGAGCAGGAAATGGGGTCTGTCTGCTGCCAAGGAGCTAAAAGGGAGGGTGACTTTATTTTTTGTTATGTTGTTTTGACTTTATTTGTGTGAAGCTCACTTTTTTGGATATGGTGAAAAATACCTGAATTCTATACCTCACAATTCTAGCTTAACCCCAGGTTAGCCCCAGCTTTGCTATGGTTCCAAAAATTCATTTTTCTAAGTAAATTTTTTAAAAAAAAACCTCTAAAAATATACAATAATCTATATCTTCCGGTACATCACTTATAAAAGTATAATATTTTTAATCCAAAAAGATGCGATGCAGGCTGTAGGCTCCCTAAATCAATGGCATTAAAATAAATGTATTGTGCTCTAATGCCCTGAGAGCAAGAGCCAGTGAGGGAGAGCTGATGTTTAAAGGGAAAAAACTTTGAGATGGTACTAAGAATATTCCTTTAACTTTAAAATTAGAAAACTTTCTTATGCATTCTTCTGGGTATTATCTGCTTTTAAAATGTGGTTGTAGACATTAAAGTAGCTTGTAAAATAAAAAGCATTAAAGATTTGTTAGTGTGAGCAGATGGGAGTTTGTCATTTGAGTTGACACAATGTTCCTTTTTTTTTAGAGTGGTCTATGAAATATAAAGGTTTACAATAAAAGTACAGTGTTAGTATACAAGGACTTACTCTGGAAAAAGTGACTAAAACTAGTGCTTGCCCTAGTTTGGGAATTCATGTGATGATTTAGTTTTAACTTTGCAAATAGAGCATTGCAGCAGCTCAGTATATTTACATTTTTCTTTCCTTATGTCATAAAAGATTAATTTCCAATATTAAGCCATTTGAAGAAAGGCTAAACACAGACCATGTGGTCTTCTGTAGATCGCCGACAAGATTATCTCATAACTCCTTACACTGAAACTGTGGAAGATCAGCATCATAGAGGGAGCTGTTCCACCAGAGCATTGGATCTGGACCGCTCAATGAGCAGGTTTTATTCTGAAGTTGATTCAGAGGCTCACTTGTGGCACACCATTAGTAATTCTTGATACCACCAAGTGACTGTGATCTTAGTAGCCCTACATACTGCATTATTCTTCATACTGGAAATATATGTCAAGAAAAAAAATTATTCTGACACCCTTTGTCTGAGGAGTGCTCTAACTTATGGTAGAGACTACACAATGGCAGTGCTTTATATATGTGACAAGGTGGTGGCACATTGTCTGGTCCCACGTGAACAAGGAGTTGACCACAACTCAGTGTCTCCCTCCATTTATACAGGTGCTCAGAAGGATGGGTGGCAAAGGGGAGAGAAGGCCTTTTGGAAGGTAGGGCTCCACGACTAGTATCATCTAGGACTCATCTGAACCTTAAGCTCTAGGAAGTTTTCCCTGTTTCTTTTTCCAGGTACGTTAACTTAAGTTTTAGAACAAGAAAGCAAATTACTTTTTGAGGAAATAGCTCACAGCCCCTGTGTTTTCTTCTGTTGACTCATTCAACTAGTTTACGATCTTTGAAATGTAAAACATTTATTGACAATTTTCTATGTTAAAAATGAGATCAAGTTGAATTAACTAATAATTACAACCTTTGTAATCTCTTCTATACAGGGCAAGTTTTTGAAAAGAGGCTCAATTAAGGGGGTGGTGTTGGGTGATAGTTTGCGTTGCAAGTTCTTGTTTATGATAAATCTTTACATGGACAGGAGTCACAAAAAAAGAGACGTGCAAGACCAGAAAATGCACAGAATCATTGAGCAACATCTAATTACAGTGAAGCAATTAGAAATGTGTTATGCCATTTACATTAACACTTGCATAACTTAAACTGGACCAGATTGAGTTGCTAATGTGTAGCACTACTTATTACTTTGTTATTGACATTTTAAAAGGATGAATAGAGGCAATGAGGATATAGAAAACTTCAGACTTTTAAAGAAAGGAATTGCACCTCATTTCTAGACTCCACTTTTATTGGTGTGTCTCAGATATGTTTTTGTTACAACTAAAAGGTACCACCACACACAATGGGTCTTGTCAGTCTGAAAACTCTGCATGAAAATCTTTGTGTGTCTGGATTCTGTTGTTATGCCAGTTCCAACACTCAGTGACAATTTGATTTTATCTTTTCCTCTTAGAAGTGTGAGATTCTTGCAATTTTTTGGTAACTTGTTCTCGCTACAAAATTCTGTTTTTATGCTATCTAGTTTAAAGGAGAAAAGTTAGACCTGTGTTTTGGTCATTGATATTCTCACACTACCTCTATTCCACCAGTTCCAGCACTGCTGGGAAGTCCTGCTGTTGGCATGGAGGTATGCCAGACTGCCAGGATGTCCAATGAAAGCATAGAAAGAAGACATCCGCTATGCCCTTCTTCTAGCAATCCCATTCCCCCTTGGCCTTTACAGGCCATTATGTAATTGCTGTTCTGCCAGTACATTCTCCGCAGCCCCAGTACCCAGCCCAGCACCATCCTCTGATATTTTCATTATGTTCTTCTTCCAAAGGTTTTTCTGGCACCCAAAGGTATTTGTGTAGTGAGTTTTTTGGGCAAAGGCAGTTAGTTCTCACATCCTTGATCTCCCTCCTGCCTTTATGCTTGGCAGGGCCCTTCGTTTCTGGCTATAACTTTGTCCCTTCCTCAACCTCATTCCTCTGATTCCAGAGCAAGTTCTCCGTGGTCCTGTCAAATGTTGCCAATTCAGGGTGGTCCCTACTCATTTAAGGAGTTGCCAAAAATGACTATTATGTGCCACTCACCTCAAGGCAGATGCAGGCCAGGTTCCAATCAATCCTTTTCCCCCCCGGACTACACCTTGAGTTGGTGGGAGGCTTGCATGCTCCGATGACCCTGAGAGCTGTGCTGGAGGGAGCAGAATTCCTGGAAGGGCCATCCAAATCAGACAGGTCAAAGAGTAGGAGCCAGTTTAAAGGCAGTCCACCAGTCCTCCTGGTAAGGAGTTTTCACTCAGACTAACAACCTATGCAAAAATACTTTCTGGTATGGAAACAATGCAAAGAGAAGACCAGTCTGCCACAGATTTGACAATGCAGGCATTGACAGTGGAGAACCACAGTCTGTTAGACGAAAGACAAGATAATACCAATCCAGCTGAAACGATGATGATGATGGAAAATGAAAGTTGCAGGGAACTTAATCTGAAATGGCATTAAGGTTAAGACAAGAATTGGGTGTTGGAATGTTATATCGCTTTGGAGTACAGGTAGACTGATACAAGTTATCAGAGAAATGAAAATTTGGCCTAAGTATACTTTGAGTAAGAGGAGGTAAACTGGATAAGACATGCGTCTGACGAAGTGGGTATTCACCCACGAAAGCTTATGCTCCAATACATCTGTTAGTCTTAAAGGTGCCACAGAACTCTCTGTTGCTTTTTACAGATCCAGAATAACATGGCTACCCCTCTGATACTGGATAAGACAAATTATTGTCGGAAGGTGTGATTGTTTTATATGCTGGAAGAGAGGATGATGCACACCGGGAATATGTAGGTTTATTATTGAGCAAGAAAGCTACTAAAGCACTGAAAGAATGGAAACCTGTAAACTCAAGAATGACGACTACTCACTTTGTGACGAACCTCGCAAAAGTCACAGTTGTTCAGTAGTATGTGCCAACAAACAACAGAAAAGAATGGTTCAAAGACCGTTTCTATTGATTGCAGAGCCTCCTTTACCAGATCCGTTAATATGTCATTGTTTCATGGAAGATCAAAATGCACGGGTTGGTGGTGTTAATATTGATATGAATACATTATGGGCAGATGTGGCATTCCCAAGACAGATGACAATGGTGAATGTTTTGTTGAACTCTGCATCCTAAGCTATCTTTGCATTGGGATTACACTTTTCCACACAAGGAAAGCCATAAACTGACATGGATATCAAATGATGCTTCGCCTAGAAACAGTGTTTTGTATTATTTTGAATAGGATGAAAATTTCTGTTGACAAAGTACTCTGAGAGGAATAGGCTGGATTTCGATCCAGAAGGTTGTGTTCAGAACAGATTTTCGCATTTGAGAAGACTCATTGAGCGAGGCTTAAAATACCAGCAGAAGATAATTTCCTTGCTTTCACAAAATCATTTGATAGTGTCCACACAGAAGCCCTCTGGAAGATCCTGAGACACTAAGGAATTCCAGCAAGGATTGTTAATTTGATAAAAGCTTTGTATGCCAAGTCTGTGTGCTGCATCAGGACAGAGAGCAGAGACCCACAATGGTTTAAGATTGTTACTGGCATAAGGCAATTTTCTTCTACCTTGTAATGAGAAAAGTGACCGTGGCTGCTGAGGATAGTGATGTTTTGTTTGAGCAAGAGAAAAGATGCAAGATTTAGATTTTGCAGATTATATGGTTGTATATGTGTCTGGACGTGGGCTTGAATGGCAGAGTCAACCACCCAAATCTCCTTCATGTGAGTACTGGTGACACAAGAAGGATGCTCTTTGGGGCATCTGTTAGCTGGAATTTAAAGCCATGGAGTATACATTGAAGGAGTTGATCCCTTCCCAGGAAAA